TTGGAGAAATCGTGTACCACGTGGCGAGTGTCATGAATCATCGGAGGTAAGCGTCCTATTGACTGGAAATCCTTGATTTGCGACAGTTGATTATTTACGCATTTGATTGGTAAAATACCTGATTGCTTTGACTGCCTTGAAATGTAGGACCCAACGACAAAGAAGTGTCTTGGGGGCGGTATCTTGAAAAGAAAAGGAATATCAAGCGGGAGTCAGGATCATTTATTAAAAATGTTTTGTTACACTCTTTCTAATGCAATATTACTTCATCGCACAGCGAGCGCCTTTATTAACGAACAAATCCTGTGAAAAGAGTGTGTCGCAGTCAAAAATATATACCTCGTGTTACGAACCGCCGCACATTTTCAATTTTTAATTTAGTTTTTTATCCATCGATTTGTATCGGCGCCTCTCGTAAAAAAAAAAGCCTGAACAACTAACTAGTCCTTGGAATCAGCCAGGATTTTTGCATGAAAGATTGCTGTTTTCTATCGTAATTTTCAACCGAAGTTGCGTCATACACACTTTTTGTTCTAGCTGATGATTGACTGAGATGTCTGAGGAGTTTATTTCTGATATCACGACTGCATACTTTCTCGATGTTTTTTTTATGGAAAATGAAAAAAGGCCAAGAGACGGTTCGTAGGATTCATTAGAAATTTTTATTCATACTCAAAAGCGAATCCCGAATTTTTTAATGTCTTCATTCATTTGTTTTTCGACAAAGTTGCGTCAATTTCCAAATTTGTTTTTTTTTTTTGATCATCCATGGTTTCTGGAATTTTTTTTTCAAGTTTCATGAATGGGTCTCATAAGGTTGCTCATTTATCTTCGAAATTTGAGATTCGAGTTCTTATGTGCTTTAACGCTTCTATTTTGGAAATCAAATTTACTGTGGATGTTTATCTTGAATTTAATGGCTGTCGAAAAAATTAGATCTTCAGTCCATTATTACTCTAATACATTTACTGCATTGAATTGTTCCTGAAAATCTTCCTTGCCTGTGCTCGATCAAAAAGTTGAAAGGGGAAGGTTCTCGAAGAAATATTTTATTGGGAAAAGTTTCATGATAAAATGGTAAATGAACGAAAAAATCGGCGAAAATTCTTTGTAATTCTCGTGAAAATAAAAAGTATAGAAATCAGCGTTGGTTCTCGTCGGTTTTATTTTATTTTTTAAAAGAATTTTACTACCCATGGAAGCTAGTAAAAATAATATTTGAACGGTATCACATGAAATCTAAGGTATCTGTATTTTTCTTACACCTATTCCCCATTTTCTCAGAACTCATGGGTGTTGTCCTTATGTGGCTTGTTTTATGACACCTTGGAAGCACACTGCCCTTGTGTAAATAAGCGGACGCTATGAAAAAAAAATGGGGAACTAGTAAACTATTATGTCTGAAAAGGCAAGCTGGAAGTGACGTCTTGTTGTTGATATACGAGTCTTGGCCGGAATTGGGTCATGACCGGGATTTCTTCGAATTCTTTTTGACCCGAAATGTCAGCGAAACGCTCGCTGCAGGCGGGGCGATTCCTTGACCTCGGCGGAAAGGCTTTTACGTTCGATTTAATTTATATCCCTGTGTGATCCGCGTTCTTTTCTCAAGTGATAGAACGAATTAAAGAAAAAGAACTAACTTTTTCTTTTATCGCAAAAGCTGATTTCAACAATGGTGCATGGTACAGTATTAGCTGGAGTACCAAAATAGTTGTTAACGGAGCTAAAAAAAAAACGACGCATTTTCAAAACAGCAAATGGCAGAAACGCGCACCAGAGGTTTTTCTCGTCATGCCAGTTCGATAAAAGATGACCCATAATTTTTTCAGAAAATTGTTTTTGACTCATTAAAAATTCCTCCTTTCTTACGTACAAGAACACACGAAGCAGAAAATGTGTTGATCATTTGCAGAACTTGAATGTCCTCGAAATTCAAGAAAAAGTGGCATAGTTTAAAAATTATTTTTCCGCTCGACTATCCCAGAAACTAGTACAGTATTAAGTAAGGTTACGGTGTTTAAAAATGCATTACTGTAAAAGGTTTCAAGTTTATTGATCTTGTTAGTACGTATGAAGATTTCTTGGTAGCCGGCATAATCTTACCGAAATACATCATTGTTTGACAGTGGGAATCTGTTTCACACGCGATTATTTATTTTTCTGCCTTGGTATCATGGAAACTGTAACTGATAACTGTGCGCATGTACCGTGGTGCAATTTTTACTGTTGCCATCACGTGCTGGTTTGGACATGCGCTGTTTTGAAACGCGCTCTAATGCACATCTGCGATGGAATGGTTGCTTCTAACGCGGTGCTAATTGTATGCATAGCTTCACGGGGAAATACGAGTCTGTTGGAATTTATTTCACGCTCTTTTTTTTTAAAGCCTCATTTTGCAATAAGAGTGGGGAAGGTGTCTTTCTTGTGAGGTGAGGAATGCTTTTTAGTGCTGAGGGAATTCACCCTGCTTTTTATTCTATTTATTTAATGTAGATCTCCTTAATAGTTCGTTATCAGGATTGACGGGACTTGGCGTTAACCCAGATGCTGGTAAGCTTAAGTGACGTTGATACACTGGGCGTTTTGTGGTGCAGTGTTGCTTATCCGATCAGTATTATTCTGCGGATCTCAGCTCAAGGCTTTTCTCTTCTTTTTTCATTTTTCTCTGTCTTAGAATTTTTTTTACGGTCATATTTTCGTGACATTAAGAGCCTATTTTTCTGATTATGTTCTTAATCTTTTACTGTCATCATTTTTAATCATATTTTCTCCGCGTTATTATTTTTTTCTACCTGTCCCATTTTATGGCGCTCAACCTTTTTGAGATATTGATTGATTTATGACTTCAACCCTTGGGTTCGTCTCAAATTTATTCATTTTTTCTTGAATTCTCTTGTGTTTTTGACATTGACGACTTTCGAATAGAAATTGAATTTGCTCTCTAGTTTTGAATTTTCTTTCTCGGGCAGGACAGCGTGCGAATCATGAGTGAAGGGAAGTAGAACAGTGTGGAAATGAAGTGAATTCTGTTCTAACTAATCAGAAAATTAGGATAAAATATCCCAACAATTATTTTTACAGTTGAAATCGACAACTCGAACCTCCCCAAGTCGAACACCACCCTTTGTCAACTTTTCTTTAAAATCCCTGTCTGAATTCCCTTAGAAACAAGGCAATGAAAACCTCCATANCTCCATACCTCAAATTTTTCTGGATGCCTTGTGGCTGTAATTTTATTAACGCAGAAACGAGAAAATGCAATGCCTGATGTTTTTGAAAGGAAGTGGAAGACTAATTGGGCAAATTAATCCATGCCTTTAATTTCAACATCCTGCAAACTTATTTTAGAAGCAATTCAATGCCTAGAATATCACAAATTAAATTTTCCTGCGATGCTTCTTTCTTTCCCTAAAAAAAAATATGTTTGTTTCCCTTAACTCAAAGTTTGTTGTTGGTCCCTTGAGGTTCGACTTAATTAACCTGTCATCCGGGGCAGTCAACCAAAGCCTGTTTCGTGCTGAAGTCTTTAAACTCATCAGCTCGATTTTCATCTCATTATCAGTGATCGAAACACCTTAACGGTTCAGTGGCCTGTCGATTAAGCGAGTATTTTCTTGCAGAGAGGTTAAGGATGTCCCGCGATAAGTGATAAAAAAAATAGTAGTTCGCGATATCTTGGTAATTTATTTGTCCCTCGTCGCGATGGGGAAGCCCGTGACTGCGTCGACGATGGTCCTCGTGCTCGTCGTCGTGGCTTCTGCATTTCCACCGGAAGCGGAAGCCAAGAAGCCCAAGTCGGTGACCGCCACGCTGGACGCCAAGTGGGCCGAGACGCCGCTGCTGCTGGAGGCGGCCGAATTTCTCTGGGACGAGTCGCCGGCCAAGTTTTGGGGCTTCGTGGAAGACGTGGCTCGCATCGAGCCCGAGTCGTTTCTTCAAAGTGAGTGAGCCATCAAGCTTCGGGTTTCTTTCCGAGTTTCGCAAGACGATTCTCCGTCCTTGTCTTTCCTTTTTATGCGCTTTACGATACGAACGGAATTAATGCGGGGGTAGTCTCGAAAGTTCTTCGCTCTAGTCACGGAATCACGCGCTATATTTCCCCGAGACGCATCCGTAAAATATATTTTATGAATTTTTTTAATGCTGTATAAAATATCTGTAATTGATCATCTGTTTTCCGTGTATAGAGTGATTCGCTCTTGTTATACTCTAATGCAGTATTTAATTTCAAGATGAAAATATCCTTTTTAAATTTTAAATTAAAATATGAGAGTATTCTCGACAATTCTCTGGTCTAATCGCCTGAACTACTTGCTGTATTTTTATCCGTGATATTTGTTTCCAAATACTGTACGTTAAAATATCGGCAATTAATCAAATATTCTTTAGTTTGTACAGTTAGCAGTTCAAATCATGCTCTGATTTTAGGATTTCTCGATGTTTTTGATTCGAGTATCTCGTTTTATGATTTTAAATCAAATTACGAGAGTACAGTATTCTCGAAAGTTCTCTGAAATGGTCTCGAAATTTTGCCCGGATCGCAACCGAACTGTTTTTTTTTTTTTTTCGTTTAAAATATGTAATTGATCATCTGTTTTTTCGTGTATAGGAAGTAGCCCAGGTCATACTGTAGCATTATATGTAATTTCTCATTATTTTTTCTACAATGAGTATGTCCTTCTAAAATTGGGAATGAAGATACGGGAGTATTGAAAGTTCTCTTATTTGGCCACGAAATCACGCGCTATTGTCCGAGACGCATACAAACTTTTTCTTTCATTTATAGAATTTGAAAATTAGTCATCAGTTTTTCTTGATTACATTAAGTACAGTAGTTCAAATCGTGCTTTAATAATGTATAAGAATTTCACAATAGCTTTGAAACAGGAAGCCCTTTATGCTTTTGTTTGTTTTGCCGTATACCTTGAGATGAAAATCAGTGGCTAACCAGTAGACCTAGTGTGTTCCTTAAAATAAGTCTTTTGGCTTGAAAAAAATGAATATCCCGTGAATATCCTTGAAACTGTTCTTCAGAAAATAGACAAGCCGTTACTGACGATGTTTTGCACGCTGTACAAAATTAAATGAACATTTTGCTTTCAGTATTTTCGCGAAGCATCCGCGTGTGATGTCTACAAAGCGCCTCAGTGATCCGTTTACGACAGATGCGAGAACCTAGTCAAGAATTACAATCGAAGACCGAGAGTTTTGACGTTTTTCGCCTGAGAATATAGAAACCCTTGATTTCCTTGCACGTTTTTCGAACATGCGGTATATTTTAGTAAGCATGGTCTTATGGTGACGAACATTCAGTACACCTGAAGAATGATGCAGCATTTAAATTTGTAGGGAAACTTGGCGAGAGCTTTTCTTCCACCCTTCGGTTTTACGCGGAACCTTGTCCTCATTTGTGCTAGATTCAGTCTCAGGAGAACGTGGATATGAGCTCGGAGGATTATGAGCATTGGAAAAGCTCGCGGAAGGCTTCTTGTTTCGCCGTTTTTCGCAGAAAGACTTAAGTTGGTCGTGGTATTGCAATTTACCTTTGTGGGATATTCCGGTTTCCCGAAATCGGTGGGTACGAGTCACGGCTAGGATTCTTCTTTTATACCAGGGAACGTTAAGGGTGTACTGACGGAAATGAGATGATGAATGATGTACTGTACAGCTTTCAGTGCAGATCGATTGATTACAGTGTTAATTTTTCAAAATTAGGAAATTTGCAAGATGCATGAGATTGCTCCAGCCTGAAATAAACCAAAAAGATTGGGCGTAAGAATGACAACTCGGGGTGAAATGGAACGAATTACTGTCTGCGTGCGTGTATTTTCCGCGATTTTCCAGCAGCTCTATCGTTTCTCAATTTTAACCTTGACCGGCAAAAATGGGATTGCAGGTCGAGAAATGAAGGAGTATCGCTCATTAAAAAAAATTTGACTCACGTCTGTACACTTTTTGCGTCTGCGAATTGAGGATTGAAAATATGAGCAAATTTTGAACCAACTCTCGCAATTTTTTAATGTTTTCTTATGCAAAAGGCCGAATTTATTTGTAATGATTTAGCTGGATGTCGCATTTTTTATTTATTGCAAGACGACTAATAATATTTTGGGGGATTCATTCTTGCACTGACCAGGTTTCTGTTGCGAATTCTGAACAATTTCACCTTCCTGTAATTTACTTTTCCTCAAAGCAAAACTTATGGTTTCCCTAACTCAAAAACTCCTGAAATTGAATTTTTTCGGGTCCCTCGGAAGTTAGAGAAGCATGTCTGAATTTTTATTTTATTTAAAAATTTGAAATGCTCGTGAAAAATTGAATGATCAGCAGCTTCATTGAAACAATTAAAATGCCGAGCCCGTCCTTTGTGTGCAAGCTAAAATGAGACCCGCTTTATGCGGAGTTGGGTTAATGAGAAAACCGTGTTTGCACTGGGAAGCCTGAGCAACTGCGAAAAGAGCATCTGGACGGGGGCACGTGCTCTCTTTTCTGCCGGTTTGAGACCCCGGCCGAGGGGGTTTCTGGCTTCTTGGAGAGAAGTTTATTTACCGAGGTCTTCTCGAGAATCTAGATCATCATGGCGAAGGAACTGCGATGGTGCATGGCTGGGAAGAGATGGCAGAGATTTCCTCCTCTTTTTGCAGTCTGTTTCCATGGAAGGGAAATTACGCTTTTGTTGATGTTCGCAGCAGCAGTGCAAAATTTTTTTTGTTCGTTTAACGCACGAAAGCTCTGCAATTATGACAATTAATTTTTTCCCGGACGTCTGAGGAATGCGCAGCGCTCGTAAAACTTTTTGCGTTTTCTATTTTCAAACATTTTTTGGTCGCGCTTTTCGGAGATTTGAATGACTCTTTTAATCCTTGACGTGATGACCGCATTCATACTGACGTATTTAAATACAGTAATTTTATTTTTATTTTATCCTCCGTAACCATGACTGTGAACGTATCAAAATGTTCCCAATTTTTTGCTTTATAATGCTAGACTAAGCATTCCAAAACTTTCGGCATCTTCTTCAATTTGAGCGTGGCCTCGAGGAAAATTGCGATATGAAAAATATAAAAATATATTTCATCGTTCGTCGACCAGTAGAGTACTTGGTTTTTTTCATACTTTTTCAATTCCTTTTTTTCTCAAACAAACTTTCTATATTGAGTCAAATCCAGAGTTCCAATGATCCGTGACGAACGACGCGTAAATATTCGGATCTTCCACCCGGTTAGAATGAAGACGTGCTATGTTTGAATTGCAAAAATCAGGATTCTCGGTTTCACTGTATAAGAAAAGTTAATTTTCTCTCGAACAGCTTACCAAGCGGGTTTTTTTCCTTCAGACCATTATTCCTGAGAAGCACTGTGTAACGCTTGTAAAACTTGAGAAGTTTCATACTCTGCGGTGTCGATGGTTTCCAGGAGTAACTTCAAGCATATGTAGCATTTTGAACTTCTGGCGAATTGTATTTTATAAAGGATTAGTGTTTCTGTTAACCGTTTTCATCCTAGCCCTAATTATGTACATCGCTGTAATTCGAATTACGTAGAGATTACTTTGGTAGTGGAATGTATTTAACTTCTTCACGAGGTGCACGAAAAAATGATCGCCCAAAAAGAAATAAAAAATGAGTTTCTAATTTTTTCACAGATCATGTTTTGCACCAGCAGTTATATGTGCCAAATGACCACCGCTTGCAAGGCCATGCTTCTGACTAGTTTTTCAACTTGTTTAACAAGAAGGTAAAAAGGGCTCCTCAGGATCTTCTCAGGAGCTCCGCGACTGCTCCAGAAAAGTTATTGAAATTAGAAGGGTTTGCGGAGAAAAACTTTCTTATTTTAAGAGCCCTCAAATTAATTTTATACAGAACACGAGGTAAAACTGAGGGGTTCCGTGACACGATCTAATTTTTACGGGGGCTACGGCGAACAAATGTGTCCTCTGATCCCGGAAAAATGAGAAACTGAAGGGAATAGAGAAGAACCTCTTATGTCCAAGTGAAATCATAAGGACTTTATGCAGAACTTTCTTATTTTTGTATGCCTTAAAATAAATCTTACCGCAGAAAATTAGGTACGCCGGATGAGAGGCTCCATGACGATTTAGTTTTCACAGGGGCTCCAGCAAACACATTTATTCTCTGTTCCTGGAAGATTGAAAAACTGTTGAGGGTTATGATATTCCAGAAAAGTTGGATGGAAGAGCAGCTAATTTAATTTTTTTGTGTTTTACTGTATTTTCTTGAGTACCATACGCACTACTTTCTCCAAAATTGAGAGGAAAAAAGGGGTATTCGTCATAAAAGCTTTTGAAATTTTCAGAAAATTTTAAAAGTTCCAATGTGCGTCACACTGGAATACAATGGGAAAATTTTGAGCAGACCTTTTTTAAAGATTACAACAATTGATAAATTTAATTTAAGTTTGATGTTCAAATTTTAATTCCGGTATCTCATTTTTTAAATGCAGCAAGCAATTTTTCCATTACTAAGAATCGGGGTTCTTGTCTAACTCTTGGGATAGGATTCCATGAATATTTTAAGAGTGTAAAAATGGTGCGTGGTACCCCAAGTAGATACCGTTTACAATTTGGGCTCTTTCTGTTCCTCATCTGTACAGTAGTGGAGCCCCACGATATGGGCGTAAGTGGTGTTGGACCTTTATGCTGAAATGTCCGCATGTTGGATCACGTTTTCCCCGTATACTTCAGCAGGGATATGCTGTATTTAATTTAGTATCCTAATTATCAAAAATTTAGGAAAAAAGTTGCACAAAAAAATTTTTTTTTATCAACTTCAAGATGCAGAAAGTAACTGTGTAGAAGAAAATCACTCAGAATCTGGACTTTTGCCAGAAGTGCAGTAGTTGAGAAAAAAAAACAAAGAACAAGCGCAAGTCTTGCTAAGATATGCACAGATGATGAAGAAACGTTGAAAGAAGAAGCACAAAATCAGCTCATTTTTCATTAGGAATTAGAGTGAATTTATAATTCATGTCATGACATAAATCTAAATTTAAAAACTAACGAAACATTTATCGAGTTAAGCAAGTTCTCTATAGTTTAATTTTAATTTTATTTTAATATTTAAAGACCCTTTACAGACCAAGCAGAGACGTCACGGTGTTCGTATCTCGAAACATTTCCCAAATGTTGGTGTAAAATTTGTTTGAGTTTCCGGTGTCCCCAAGTCGAATTAACATATTGTCGGCTTGTCCGTAAGTCGGTGCTCCAGCACTTACCCGAAATCTAGTTTCGGTTGCATTCCCGGGTATCAAAGAGGGAGAGAAAATCATCATCTTTCCCAGGAACCGAGCTTTTTTCTCCCTATACTTCTTCCACAAGATGAGGCCTAATTGGTTTTCCTCCCGAGACCCCCGGACCTGATTGAGCGCGAGAAGCCACGGCAAATGAGGCTTCCACCGACCCCCGACGCCGGGATTTTTTTTTTTTGAATGGCGCAGATTGTTTCTCGCATTATTGCGGATGAATTCCTGGTTCGTCTCTGCACACACACACTCACTCACTCACTCACTCTGCGCTGCACACTAGAACGACTATACGATAAAGAGAGGAAGGAATAATGATTGCATCGAATCATTTTCCCTTCCCGTCTATCTCAAGCCGCCGAGCTCATGAATAGAAGTCCTGCGCTCTGTGTTTCTCTCTTCTCTTCTTTATTTTATTTTTTTTGGGTTCCCCCAGCCATTCGCTTCCCGGTTTCCGCCTGCCTATAGGGTCTTATCTCAGGGAAAATGGATAAAGAGGAGGGGGTTGCTCGTGCGAGAGGAAGATGAACGACGACCTTCTTAGTGTCTCCCGCCAACCCAACCCACATCATTCTTATTCCCTCTACGCCTTACTTGTCTCTAGTACGTAATTCCCCGAAGCAACCCAGCGAAAATAAAGTAAAATACATATAAATAAAGATTGTGGGCGTGGGTGTCCCCCTGGGATCGGATTAATGGGGCCTTTCGGATTGCGTGGCTGGACGATGTTTGTCGCGCTCTCTGTATCCTGAGGATGTCCGCGCGAGACAAACTTGGACACGCGAAGCGGGTTTTCGACTCAGGAACGGTTTCGTGCGTCGATTTAGTCGGGGAATTTAAGGTGAAATGTAGGTTTGAAAAAAGAAAAGAAAAAAGCCACGGAAACTGCGCACGAATAATGCGTCCGAGGTTTATAGGAGAAGAAAGGTCTGCATGGATGACGAGGAGTTTCTGATGGTATATTATCTCGAAGATGGGTTCTTCGCCATGGAAACCTAACGAGGTTCTGTTTTATGAGGTTAATATATTGTGCATATATTTTTTGGAATCTCGGAATAGCGCATTTGCGCAGTAATTTTGCCCGCAGAAGAAAAATTTGTTGTAAAAATAAAAGAACTTGTGATGAGCTTCTATCTCTGGAATTTCTTGGATCAATGTTGTTGCTTGTTCATACTGTACTGAAGTTTGTGGTAATTCCGATCGGATTAATTTTTATTCTGGTTTTTAGAGAGAGAGAGACTTCCGTGTGTCATGCATCTGGTTCACCTGCTTTTAAAAAGTCCCGTTGAAATGTTTACAAGCACGGTATCTGCATCCGAAAAACTCGAAACTTTACTCTCAGTAAAGTAAGAACAATTTTAATTTGTGCCATGTTATCGGGGAAGGGGGGGCTGTTCTCATATTCGCTGTCACTTCCGTCTGTCTGTTCGGATGATGAAGTGGTTATTCAAAAGAAAGACATTTTAGGGTAAATGTTTCTGTTGAGATTATACATTGACGTCATCTTCGCTTCTTCACGTCGTTAACCGTTTTAGTCCTTTTTTTCTCTCACTGAAGGCAGCTTTTCTTTCGGTCATTAAAATTTGAAAAGGTCGAAACTCGAAAGTCGTAATGAAAAAAGTTCTTGACATGCTTTCGCATTCTCGATTTTTGGAACGCCATCTTTGGAAATGTTGAGAGAGCTTTATTTCCCAGGATTTGTGTCGCGGAGCTTTCCATTTATCTCATACGACTACTAGTCTTGATTTTTGTCGCTATCTCGACTATTCTGCGAAATGAAGCACTCTAAATTCGCATTTTTCTTCATCGGAACGCAGTCAGGCTTGCGAATATATATATTTTTTCATTGGTTTCGAGGGCCAGTTCAGAAGTTTTGTCAGTAACATGAAAGAATTCCACAGATAAGCAAAATGAAAAAAAAAA